CTTTCTGGCAAGCGTATGTGCCCTATAGCAAAAATGTTTAAAAAAAAAAAAAATACAAGCAGTACAATCAAGTACCAACACTTAAATTTCCGGGAGACATCCAATCACTACCTACTAAGGCTAAATTACAAAATATGAAACTATGGGGACAAGGCATGATTCAAATTGTACCACTCCACTTGCTCTTCAGCTGAGAGACTGCAGAAAGCTGCATGTTCTGAATTTTATACCCAGTATCATAGTATTTGCTAGGCTAAAGTGTTGTAGAACATCCTTTTCTGGGATGGTGGGCAGGAGCTACTTGACCAACTCACCCCATCTAAGGATGTTGCATTCCTAGCACATTTTACAATTATTCCTAAGAATTAGGGCTGAGAAGGGGAGAAAACTAGGTCCAAGATTATCATCCAGAGTACTGTCCTACAACAATAAAGGACTGATACTATTATCATGACTTGGAGGTTAGCTATATGAACTACAGTTTATCTTTCTTTCATTAATTCAATTTTTATTGAGTAGTTTCACTTTGCCGAAAACCTCCTGGACATCAGAAAGAGTTAAAAATAAAGTGCTCAAGATTTAGCAAAGGAAAAAGACAATCATATTCTAGAGTAAATGCTGATAGAAGTAGACATAGGAAGCCAAGGGACCCAGAGTCAGAGCACTGAACTCAGTCATAGAAAAAAGGAGGGGAAAAAAGGATAGCAGTGTGATCACTACCCTATTGGTGGGGTGGGGTGCTTTCTATTCTCTATCTTTGACACACACACACACATGCCAGCAGTTAAGGATATAAAAAAAGCAATTCCTGGCCCAGGAGGTCATACAGCAGTAATGCAACTGGACTCAGAGGTAAAAGGTAAGTCCATGACCTGAGGCTTCCCTCTACACAATAGCTATGCCGAGGATCTGGACCAGTCATGACTGGAAATGGATATAGTGTGAAGACCCTGTTAGGGGTGCTTCTCTCTCTCTCTCTCTCTCTCTCTCTCTGTGTGTGTGTGTGTGTGTGTGTGTGTGTGTGTGTGTGTGTGTCTCACTCATAGAAGAAATAAATCAACTTAAAACTTTTAATAATGAAATTAAATATAAAAAATAAAATAATCAATTGCTAAAGACAAAAGCAAAACCAAATACATCTCTGTATCGTATTGCTCTCATAACCAACAAGAAAGAAATTATCTTAAATGACTTAAGAATGGGTCAGCCAGTGTCGTGGTGGTTAAAAAGACTGGATCCCACGTGGCTGACTATACGGTTCAAGTCCTGGACCCTGTGGCTTGAAAAACCTGCTGGAAAATCCCAAAAGAAGGGAGAAATGAAGAAAGGACTGCAATCGGACCAAGCTCCCTGGGGTGTGCTTTCTCTCTTTCAATCTCTCTTTTTCTTTCTGTCTCTCTCGGTTAAGTGCACATGCTCTCTGGCAAATTACAATAAAAAGGCAGCAGCAGCCTACAACCTTTATATGCAACTCAAGTGAAAATACAGATACAATAGTACCCTATTATTTAGGGGGGATATAGGTCTGAAACCGATAGTACCAAACCTTATACATTGTAGGTTTCTTCAATCTGTTAAACCAAACAGTTATTAAGTGACTAATGGGCAGGTAATACATATGAGATTGATACACTGGACAAAGGGGTCATTCACGTCTTGCTCTCAGAATGGAGCAGGATGGCTCAAGATTTAATCACACTACTCAGGACAACATGTAATTTAAAAGACTCATGAGTTTTTCATTTCTGTAATTTTCTCTGAATTTTTTTTTTTTTTTTTGGAGAGATTTTCACTGTAGGGCGCGTGCACTCGCCAGACAGACAGAGACATAGAGACAGCAAGCGAGAAATCAGCCCGCAGGGGGGATGGTCACGCCGCAATTCCTTCTCCTCCATTCTCCTCTCGGGATCTTGGGCACGCACGCCCAAGCGCCCGGCGTGAGTTTTAAGCCACCGGGTCGGGGACACGAACCGCGGTCGACTACGTGGGAGTCCAGCGACATAGCCATTATGCTAACTGCTGGTTCCCTCTGTAATATTTTCAAGCTGAGGTTGACTGCAGGTAGGTAACTGAAACCACAGAAAATGAGACCACAGGTAAGGAGAGACTACTGTACATTCTAAGGACCAAAGTCTACCAAAAAAAAAAAAAAAGCTAAATGCTTTTAATCTTATTTTATTGAGAGAGAGAAAAAGAAATGGGAACCCTCTGTTGGAATCCCACATGGCTGACCACTGTTCGAGTCCCAGACCTGGCGGCTTGCTTTCTCACTTTCCCTCTCTCTCCCTCTTGCTCTGTTCCTCTCTGGTCAAATTAAAATAAGTAAATAAATAAAGTTAAATTAAAAAATAATTCTAAAAAAGCAAAAGAAATGTGCACCCTCAATAGGGTCTCATGATGCCATAACCCTTAGCCCTAAGCACTCCAGCTGGCCAGGATCATGGGAGCCCATGCACATGCCAAGCATGTTTCAGGCTGACCTGGGATCAGAACTGAGGTTTTTCACATGGCTCCAGAATTGCAGAGCAATACACACTTCCCCCTGTGCTATCATTGCTGGGTCTTAAGTTTTAAATATTTCAGTGATTATATTATTGGTGGTAGTCTTATATTATTTGTGTTATTATTTTGAGACTGTTATGTCAGATAAGGCAAGGAGTAATTATTTGGGGGTAGTTGTAGACCAACATTTGCAGTGTAGGAAAAAGACCACATGGATGATAAACCAAAGGGTTAAATAAAAACTCTACTAAAGTAAATTAGAATTGGAATGCCTGTGTAATTTCATGATACATGTTATCACATATTTATACTTTGTTTCTATTTATATTTGTAAATACACTTATTTCCTAGCTCTGTACACTGAAATTCTTAGAAACAATGACTAATCCAGTAGCCACCAACATTACAGTGACCAGGTTGTAGACTACCTTGCCACAAAAACAAACCAGGGCTCAGTATAAGTTTGGGGCTTTTTTCACATAATATATGCTGGGGACAAAGTGATATTTTTCACTTTTTACAGACACACATTACTCCATTATGCCAACCTTCCTTGGTTCGAGTTATCTTTTGATGAAAATTTTGTTTCTTCTATATTTGTACTATAATATATAGTAATCATTGTAATGACTTGTCCTTTTTTTTAAGTTATGAGAAAATCATTTCTACTTTAGCAACAATCTAAGTGAGATTGCGTGGGAGACACTGGGTAAGACCAGAAGCATAAAGAATAGGAAGCAGGGAATTGTGGTCACCTAGGTGAAGATACAGTAAACTAAAACAAGAACCATCCATACAAAAGAGATCATTTAGAAGCCAGGAA